GAACACAGTACTGATGGTTTGTTCTCAGTGTGCTCCGTCTTACATGCAGCTGGCACCATCCCACGGAGGAGCTCTGACTTCATCCAGCATACACGTGATGCCATTCCGGTCAGGCTGCAGCGCCTGCTGCTGGATCACTTGTTTCTCCCTTCTGGACTGGAGTGGTATCTTGCCTTTGTTGCTGAACCTTGTCTTATTCCTGAAACATTCTGTAATACATTAGCCACCGTTTCTATTTTATTGCCATCCCAATTTTGCCCACTTTTATCCCTTAAAACCCGAGATTGGCAAAGTTTTTCTGTAAGGGGGCCAGATGGTAAATATTTTCTGCTTTGCAGGCCACATATGGTGTCTGTCACATATTCTCCCCCGCCACACCCCTTTAAAAATATAAAAGCTGTTTTTGACTTAAGTTAATATTCTTATGAATTTTTAGGTTTTTTCTTAAATTTTTAGTTTTTTAAACTTTTAAATTGTGAAATAGAGCATATATTCAAAAGTGTATGAAACCTTACACATTTGGTTTGATGTATGAAAATGAAACAAATTGTGAATCCCATTTCCCAAGCCAAGATATAGGATATTCTCAAGACTTCACAGCCCCTCCCCAATTGCATCTTTCTCTGAGCCACTTGCTATACTGCATTTTGTGGGAACAGTTCCTTGCTTTCTTTATAGTTTTACCATGTATGATAAATCTCTTGATAATATATTATTTGGATTTTGCTTGATTTTGAATTTTGTATAAATGGAATCATACTCTGTGTATCCTCTTTTGCTCGTTGTGTTTTTGAGATTTCGTTCATGTTAATGCGCATAGCTGTAGTTCGTTTGGTTCCACTGCTTGTTGGATTCAGTTGTTTGACTATACCACATCCTCTTACAGTCCGTTCTGCTCTTGATGGACGTTTGCATTCTTTTCAGTCTTTTATTCTCATAAATCATGCTGCTGTGAACATTCTTACTCAGGTCTCCTGGTGTACAAGCGTGAGAGATTTTCAAGGGCTTTACTTAGTAGTGAAATTGTTGGGCGTGCGCAAGTCTAGCTTTTCCTGGTAAAGCCTGATTTCCAGAGTGGTTGTCCCAGTAAGCTCTCCCCCAGGCAGAGGATGAGAATTCCCTTTGCTCCTCATCCTTGCCAACACATGCTGTTGTCCTTATTGTCAGTTTTTGCCTATTTAGTGAATGTGATGGTATTTCATTGTGGTTTAAATTTGTATTTTCCTGATTATTGAGCAGGTTGAACACCTTTTCACATATATTGTTCTTATATGCTTCCAAATTATTTTTTTTTCAAATTGGTTTTTATTCTTGTATTCTGGAAACTGGTTATTTGTTGGCTGTATGGGCTATAGTTGTTTTTTTGTTTGTAGCTTGTCTTTTTATGCTTTATGGGACATTATCTCGAAGTTAAATTAATCAGTCTCTTATGTTTGATCTTCTAAGTCTTGTAGTTTTGCTTTTCACATTTAGGTATTTAATTCATTAGGAATTAAGGAAACCTTCAAACATATAGAAAAGGGGGAAAAAAATAAAGTCGACCCATCCCCATATACCCATCACTCAACTTCAATTAGTGTAAAAAGTCTAATTTTGTTTTATCTATTCTTCCCTCCCTGCCTGTTTTGGGGAAGTATTTTAAAGCAAATCCCAGCATCATGTCATTTCACCTGTAAATATTTCAGTTTTACTGATTTGTTATCTGCTTGATATATGAGTTACAGAGAGAGGCATGTTAAAATCTACAATGGCAGATTTGGCTATTTCTCATTGTGGTTTTATAAATTTTTACTTTATAGATTTTAAGGCTATCTTAAAATGCTTAGAATTATTATATCTTCCTGGTGAATAAAATTTTTATTGTTATAAAGGGACCTTCTTCTCATAATCCTTTTTGCCCTAAAGTCTCTTATGTCTGATATTAGATGTAGCCATACCAGGTTTCTTCCATTCCAGGTGTGGTATATTTCTCACTATCCTTTTATTTTCAATTTTGTATTACTAAATTTTTTTCTAATTTTTTTATTAATATGGTAAAATACACATAACATAATTTACCATCTAAACTATGTTTAAGTTTACTGTTCAGTGGTATTAAATACATTCATATCCTTGTGCTACCATCACCACCATCCGTCTCAAAAACTCTTTTTCATCTTATAGAACTGAAACTCTGTACGTATTAAACAAGAACTCCCCATTCTCCTCCCCCCAGCACCTGCAGCTACCTGTATCATTTCATTTTCACATATATCTCATAAGCAGAATATAGCTGGCTTTGGTATTTAGATTTTTTTTCTGTTATCTTATTTTGTACTTTTGTGTGTTTTCCTTTTGTTTTTTCTCCTTTCTTGCCTTATTTCGGATTTTTTTCCTCTATTAGTTTCAGTGCTATGGATGCTCTTTCTTTTAGTGGTAACCTTAGCAATTTTAACATGCATATTCAACTTATCACAGTCTAATGTTCATCAGTATCTCTGTTCTTCTTAGAACACTATAGTTTCAGTCCCTTCCAATGTGTATGCTGTCATTATAATACATTTTAATTTCCTGTCTTAAAAAAATTTAACCATACAGAGTATTGTTGTTGTCTCATATAGTCAGTATTTTGTTAACATTGTCTACACTTTTGTTCTTCATTTGTGTTTGCATCTCCGAGCTTCCTTATAGGATCATTTTCTGCTGCCTTTATAATTTCCTTTACTGACAGTCAGCAGGTGATAAACCTTCTAAGTTTTTACTTCTTCCAAATTACTTTTATTTTGCCTTCATTTATGAGAGAGATTTCTGTGTATATAGAATTCTATTTTATCTCAGCACATTGCAGGTATTATTTCACTGTCTTTTGGCTATAAATAATTTGGCTTCAGTATTGCTTTTGAAGACACTTGTCCCTCTTCTTGCTTCTTTGAAGGTAATCTTTCTCTTCTTTCTGGCTACTTTTAAAATATTTGTTGTTGTTGTTATAACATTCCACTGTGATATCTCAGTGTCTAGATTCCTTTTTAATAATCCTGTTAGGAATTTATTAGGCTTCTTGGATTTTTAGATTAGTATCTTTTCTTAGTTTTAGAAAGTCTGGTGAGAAATTGTTGAGAATATTGCCCTTGCTGTTTAACTCCTCCTGGAACTCCAGTCAGATTATTGTTAGATCTTGTGACTGTCTTCCATGTCTCTTAACCATTTTTTTCATGTGTTCTGTCTCTTTGCCTGTCTGCTCTGGTCTGGGTTGTTTTCTCTGACCTGTCTTCCAGTTCACTAATTTACCTTTAGTTTATCTAATCTGTTAAATCTGCCATTGAATTTTTCATTTCTAATACTACATTCTTTCTTGATTAGAAGTTCTGTTTGGTTCTTTTTCACGTAGGCTTGCTCTGCTCGTGGTGGTGTATTTCTTGTTTGTGGTGGATGTGTGAGTGAGTGTATGTGTGTGATCTGCTTATTTTTCTCAGAACTGTATCTTTGAAAATGTTTGTGGTCTAGGATAACAAAGTTGGGTTTCTCCAGAGGAGGTTGCATTTGCTTCTGTCAGTTGCCCAGGGCCTATTCCAACCCTTGACGCTTAAAATAAATTCTGGGCTTGAGGTTTTTCAGAATACACAAGCAGTATTTTAAGTTGTAATTAGCCGTGCGAGGGCTGGTTTCTGGTTTTGAATTCTCAGGGGAGATGTTTTTCTCCCCTTTCTTCAATGCCATGGCTCAGGGCAGCATCCACCACGCCCCCCCTTAAACAGTCTCTTTAGAATGTGGCAGCTCATTTCTAGTTTACTCTCATGGTGAGGGCTGTAGCTTTTTGAGGTACTGGCTTTTCTAGGGTCTCTAGACTCTTCACCTTGGGTAAATCAATATTCTTTGTCGCCTGTTCCCAGAGGCCTGCAAAGCCAAAAAAGTTGATAATTGAATTTACCCACCTTCAGGGTGAAAATCAGCTTTAGCAAACTCAATTGACCTTTCTGTTTTCCTTTCTTGATTTAATTTTTGTCCTGCATATTCCTTGCTTTCTAGCCAACTTATGAATGCACTTAAGAAAATGTTTGAAAATACTTTATCCCGTATTTTTTGTTTTCAGCAAGAGGATTAGTATAGGTTCTGAGTCCACCATGTTGCTGGAAATAGGAGAGTCTCTGTGTTTTTTATTTTTATGTTTCCAGTTAGATTTTACTTTCTTGAGGAATGACTGTGCCTTGGCCTTCCTTGCTCTTTTCTGTGACACAGTCTCAGTGGACACTCAGTTATACAGGTAGATGTGGAGCTAGAATACACTTTTGAGGGCTTCCATTTTACATGTTTTATACCTATTATGTTTTTTAATCTTCCTAACTATTTGGTGAGGTAGGTAGATTATTACCTCTGTTTTACAGAGGAAGAATTTGGATGTAAATCTGATAATTAGTTGACCTAGGTTTTAGATTCATGACTTTTTTTTTTGAGGAAGATTAGCCCTGAGCTAACATCTACTGCCAATCCTTCTCTTTTTGCTGAGGAAGATTGGCCCTGAGCTAACATCCATGCCCATCTTCCTCTACTTTATATGTAGTATGCCTACCACAGCATGACTTGCCATGTCTGCACCCGGGATCCAAACCGATGAACCCTGGGCCACCGAAGTGGAATGTGTGAACTTAACTGCTGTGCCACCGGGCCAGCCCCTAGATTCATGAGTTTTGACTCAGTAATTCTGTGTCCTTTCCACTATACCATGTTGATTTGTAGTTAATATTGTTGACGTTTGACATCTATTGATTATTGTGTCTAGATATGAAAATTCTAGAGAAACCACTGGATTAATAATATTTGGATGAAATTATCTCTAAATTGTCACCTGAAAGAAATTGTTAGCTAGGTGTTCACTTTGTTTAAGCTTTTATTAGTGACTTTAAACACTGTATTGACTTCTGTTACAGAAAGCAGAAAAAAAGAAAGGATTGCTCTTTTTTGCTATTGCAGCATTGTGAAATACTTTTGTTGTAAAATATAGATAATTTTTTCTTTTCTGACAGGTGTGTATGTAATATAGATTGCAGTGGATACAGTTTTAATCCTGTGTGTGCTTCTGATGGGAGTTCCTATAACAATCCTTGTTTTGTTCGAGAAGCATCTTGTATAAAGCAAGAACAAATTGATATAAGGCATCTTGGTCATTGCACAGGTAAAATCCATTCTACTTATCCAGAGACCCGTCTTTAATATCCTATGTCGACAATCTTTGTACATTTTGATAGTGTTCCAAATTTTTAAAATGAGAAATATTTGATGCTTTGTTGGCTTTTTTATTACTATATATTTTAGAATTTCTTCGTTCTGCTACTAATTTAGATTTTTTTTCATCACAAACCATGCTTCTTGGTTGTTTATTTAGTTACTAAGCTGCTTCTAACATGGACTCCTAGATACATTGTTCTTGAAGATTGTCTCGAATCTGAAATGATTATAGCTGTTTAAGAATTACTAAACTTATTTTAATCATAGTAAAAATATAAGTATTGCCATATATTTCTTCATCTTTTTTTCTAGAGCGTTATGGTTTACTTTGTTTTCACATTTTCCCTGTGGTTTTGCCCCTACGTATATATACTGTTAGGGATTTTGGGGTGAAGTTATAGAATGTAAGGAAAAATAATTACCTTCAGTATAAAATTCTTTTGCCCTTCTTGCTTTTTGCCGTAGTTTAGAAGTCATGACACCAACTAAGAATGAGTTTTTGTTTTCCATCCCTACTAGAACTATCCAGTTACTGCGGGAAGAGGTTCTCAACCGTCTTTCCTGTGTTGCACACATGGGCTAGGATAGTGTAAAGTCTCCTAGTAACACACAAGGGCCAGACACATTCTCCTGGACTAGGATTCTGCGTCTTTCCTGCTCACTAGGTCTAACCACCCTCCCTCCATCCCCTCTCCTTTTTTTGGACTTACTAAAGGGATATGTTTTTATCTGAGCTAAGGGAAAAAAGTCATAAGGCAAAGTTTGGTACTTTATATTGGTAACAAATTATTTGTGAAATACTGTGCAACGGATTGCAGTACCTCTGGTCTAAGCTACCAAAGAACATCCAAGAAGCTCATCAGAGGATTTCTGGGTGGGGTCAGGTATGGGCGTGTAGAGGAAACCATATGCTGTAGGGACCCCTTGTAGGTAGACAGTCCACTTAGCTTTGATTTTGAAGAAGTGGTAGGGTTTGTTTTTCTTTCATGGGGTATTATTTAGAGCTTAGGTTGAAAGAGTCACTTAGAGAAAGACTATCTTTTCTGAGGAACTGGTGCATGGTTGAATGCTACTACATGGGATTTCAAATTCAGAGCAGTTGGTCAAGCTTGAGGGTTTTGTTAATTGAAATTCATGCAGATTTAGAATCTGTGGAGTAGTCGTCCTTAACTTTTATCTTGATCCACCCCATAATATTTCCTTTTGCGCTTAACTATACCTTCTCTTTCCTCCCCCACTATGTATTGGGAAGCCGAAGCTTATGTTTCCCAACAGGTATTTATGGTTCGTCTACAGTCTTCCCAGTCCACATACAATTCACCGGTCAGAGGTCATTTTATAGTAAATTTTGTCTGATCACACAGCTGAGATTCCACATTTAATCTGATGTTTCCAGGGAAACAGTGGTAGGAGAAGGTAAATCTTGAGACCATTATCCCTTGGAGAAAGGATTAATCCTTTCTCTTCAGGGTGTGTGCTGTTTTAGTATGCACAGGGAAGCCTTTTTAAGAAGGTGACATTTGTGCTGAAGTCTAAATGAGATTAGACTGTTCATCATGCAAAGTGCATCTATATCTGCGATGCCTTGACGCCTGAGATAGAAATAGCACAATCGATCAAGAGAATGGTGGGAAATATGAACAGGATGAGTGGCCAGAGAGTTGTGAAGCTTTGGACTATTTGGGAGTTTCATAGTGTGACTTAAACATCAAGTGTATCTTGATTTGAAAACTGTTTTCTCTTATAGACACAGATGACGCTAGTTTGTTGGGAAAGAAAGATGATGGACTACAATATCGACCAGATGTGAAAGGTACTGAATCATGATTTTTCCAAATTTTGGCCAACTACTGAAATATGGTAACTAGCTGTCTTAGTTCTATTTCCATTATAACGACCCTTCCAGCTTTGCTCTCTGTAGTAATGTACATCAGTTTTTAGACTACTCTCACATAGGCTTTCTTTAAATTGAAATTTTTATTGAGATAATTGTAGATTCACATGCAATTGTAAGAAATTATACAGAAAGATCCCTCATATTTGCTCTTTAAATCCTCTTCTCCAGAATCTACTGTTAACTCTTGCCCTCTGTGCACAGGTCTTTGAACCTCGTTCCCTCTGCCTGAAACTCTTCTTTCCCTAATATTCATCCTTTCAATCTCAGTTTAGAAGTTATTTGCTTTTGGGAAGTATTCCTTGACCCTTAAGTCTAGATTAGGAGCCTCTCTTGTGTACCTCACTATCCCATAACCTACTCTAATTGTAATTGTCTTTTTTCTCATCTGTGTCCCCCCTTCTTTAGGCTCTGAGTTCTGTGAGGACAGGAGGCTATAGCTGTGATGTTCACTTTTGTATTCCTAACACTTAGCAGGCTGTCTGGCACGTATGTAGGTGCTCCATACTTGTCAAAAGAATGGATGCAGATCAAAGAAGCTGTAGGGTTTATTTGTATAGGGTCTTATTTGTAGTAAAGGCCAGAGCAGAGATTGGATTCCAGGTCCCTTGACCTCAAGTCCAGTGCTCTTTCACTTCTCGTTTTCATATCCATTATTTCATTACTCTGAGGGGTAAAGATCAGTGGGAACATTGAGGCTCAATGAGGTTATATCTAGTGAACCAGAGCAGGTCTAGATCTTGGGACTCCTACACCAGGACTTCTATATAATTCCTCTTTCACACAGACATCTTCTGCCCATTTGTTTGGTTATACTAATGGACAATTTTGTTTTAGATGTGTGATCTACCTATTATGCCTAATTTCTAAAAAATATGTTAAAATGAGAATAATAATGGTACCTATCTCATAGGGTTTCGTAAAAATTAAATGAGATACACGTCAAATGCTTAGAGCAGTATCTGACATACTCATATGTTTTCAATAAATCGTAGCTATATTATCAGTGAATAATTTGTTACTTCCTTCACTTGAATCATGTCAAACCTGAATCGGTTATATCCATTAGCCCCTGAAATATTAGTTTTCTATGTTGATTAAAGTGCTGTATTTCAAATAGAAAATCTCCTGTATTCCCATAGGAAACATAATAGATCAGCCCCAGTTTTATTCTCTGTACTGACAGTACATGACCAAGATAGGAAGGATGTTTTTCAGTAGATATAAGCTCATACTTAAGGCAATTTGGGGAATTGTGTATGCCCAAAATACTTGACTGCCTTTGATAAAATCACAGGGATAATTTAATACTTAGACCACTTTTGAGATACTGAAAATTCTTTACACATAAGAATTGATCTATAACTCAAATTATCATAATCAGTAAATATAATTTATTATGTGCCTACTTTGTACTAGTTATTTTACCAGACACTGTTGGTGGATAGAAAGATATCTAATATGTGGCATCCATCTTGAAAGAGCCTGTGATTAATAAGAATTAAATATAACCTATTTCTAACAAAGTAGAAATTGGTTATTGTCATAAATGTAGTGTGGTGAAAAAGTGCAACAGAAATTCAGAAAAGAAGAGATTACTGTTTGGTGGGAGATAGTGAGGATCTGAGAAACTTCATGGAAGACATGGAATTTGAGCTGAACCATGAAGAACAGTTAAGATTTGAACAGAGGTCAAAAGGATATTTAAGGATGGAAGAGCATGAGCAGAGGTGTGGATGCCAACGTTACAATGAAATGTATTGGAGAACAGTAAGGGGCCCTTTTTTGGCTGGAGAGTAGGGGGCTTAAGAGGTAGACCTGCAAGGCAAGACTAGAAAGATAGATTGGGGCCAGATTGTGTAGTGTCTTGATTGCTATGTTATCCTAGGAAATTTAAACTTTATTTGTAGGAAGGAGGGGGTTATTAGTATATCTGAAAAAGGCAAGGCTGCATAGTTAACCAGTTGAATGAATGATACCTGGCAGGAACATTGTGCTTATTATGTACAGTGGATGATGGGAGGCAGGGAGATCAGTTAGGGAGACTCAAAAGGAATAGACTTCTTTTGGATATGAGGGGTAGAGTTTAAGCTCAGATGATTTGGGTGATGACTCTGTTTATAGAACTAAGAATGTTGGGAGGGAGGGGAAGGGTGTTTGGGGTAAGGTAAGGGAAGAGGTGGTGGTGGAGGTGATTAACTTTATTTTGGAGTTTGTGTTGCTTGTTTGGAAGTCATCCAGATGACTTTGTTTAGTATAAATTTGCGAACCAGTCCTGGGATATAGAAGTGATAACTGAAGTCATGAGAATGAGTGAGAGACATTATAGAGCTATATTGTCTAGGATGGTGCTGCTGGCCACATGTGGCTATTTAAATTTAAATTAATTAAAATGAAATAAAATTAAAGGTTTTGTTTGTCAGTCATGTTGGCCCTATTTCAAGTGTTCACTAGCTACGTGTGACCAGTGGCGTATTGGACAGCACAGATATAGAACATATCCAGAGTTTCAGAAAGTTCTGTTGTACAGCACTGTTATTTAGAACGGAAAGGAGGCCCAACTTAGGATGAAGCAAAAAGAGGATCCAGAGGAAAAAGCCAAGAAGAGTACAGTGGCACAGAAACCAAAAGGGAAAGGTTGGCTGGTAGTTTAAAACACTGCATAAAGGTATTGGAGGACAAGCATTGAATTTGAAGACAAGGGGATCATTGGTAATCTTGGACCACAGGGTTTCTGTAGAGTTATGAAGGTGAAATCCAAATTGTGAAGGAGTTAAATATTCTGATAGTGAGGAATAGAGGTCAAAAGGTAACTCTATTTTCTGTTTTTATCTCATTTGCTTTTATTTTTATGTTCTCGCAAGCATTTATAGGAGGCCCTTTGCAAATAGTTGTGTCCCTAGTACACAGAAAAGACTAGGTTGGTAGGCAGAGAGCTCGGAATAGAGGCTACAAAGTGAAAAGCGGGAACGCAGCATCAGCAAGAAGCTAGAATGGTTGGAAGATGGTGCTCAGTAAGAAGATCTTTTAAAGTTGGACTCTTGGAGAAGAGTGTTCATGAAGTGGAGCATTTGAATGTCCAGCACACTGTATTAGTGGCTGAAATAGTGCTTTTCTTGGGCTGTGGAAAACCTGTGGTAATAGTGAAGCTGCAGTGTCAGAAGCTTTGTTGTCGATGTTAAAGTCATAAAGGAATGATGGTTGAGCATGAGGTGTGTGGGAGATGGGTATGTCACATCTTGAAAACTTGATTATAGAAAATTTCAAACATATAAATAGAATAGTGTAATGAACTCTCATGTGCTCAATACTCACCTTCAGCTTCTCAGCATTTTGTCATTCTTGCCTTGTCTGTATACCTCCACCCACTTGATTACCATTATTCTTATTTTACAGATTTTTTTGAGGTACAATTTATATGCATTGAAATGCACAAATGTTAGCTATTAGTTTTGACAAATGGATACACCCCATATACACTATACCTTATCACAATCTAGAACATTTCCGTCTACCCAGGAAGTTCCTTTGTGGCGTATGACATTTTAATGTGGCCATTTTTATCCAAAGATATTTTCATACAGCCTAAAATCTAACCGTGACACCTTTTTATTATCAAGACATTCGCGCTTCGTTCCTGAGCTTCACCTCACCCCATCCTTGACCTCATTCTCTCTGTGGTCTCTACTCCTGCTGACCAGGCCTTCCAGAGATACCGAGATGTTGGTATTGTTGTTTCCATTACTTGGTGACTGTTGTGTGTATATTTTAATACAGCTCTTTTGATATGCCCTTTTTAAAATGGTCTTGATAAATTTGCTTCATCAAAAGATAAGACTGTGAGCCAGGTGCTAAAATCATTGCAGGGAGTCTGAGAGTGTGTGTTGTGGAGTGTGGTAGAGTCATGCCGAGGATGGTTAGGAGGCCGTGTAGGTGGATGGCACAGGCCCCTAAGAGAGGAGGGTTGTTGGGAGACGAGAGTAGAATGCTGATCTGGAGGTGACAGTGGTAAGCACAGCAGGGGAAGGTGAAAAGAAAGGGCATGTAGGAAGTAATGGGGTCTTGGTACATCAGGGAGATGAAGGAGTACTTTCTCAGGGAATAGCTGAGGAGGTGGGTGAGTTTGTTCACATTTGAAAAGGTGTTTCACTGGGCAGAGTGGAGCAGTTAGGAAGGGAGGGGTTGGTGTGAACAGTGGGGTTTAGAAATGAGAGAGTGGGCAGTGTCGGAGTGTACACAGGTGTTTATAGCTAGGTAGGTAGTTCTTTGATGGGGTCCCAGGAGACTGGGGTTAGGGAAGGGTGCATGGAGGGATATGTTAGTGATAAAGCGTGAGGTACAGGGTGGTATAGGGGGTTTGTAGAAATAATGAGCCGTGGAGTTACTGATGTGGTATTGATGTAGTTGTGGCCTCAGCAGTTGAATTTCTTGATTGTTAATAGCGTCTCCTCATGCTTTATTTCAGTTGTACATTGATGGGGCAGGACAGATAGCCAGTGGAACATGCCTTTGCAGACAAGCCATCTGGCGCTGGGTTTTCTTATAACGTCATCACTTAGAACATACTCTCCTTTGTATCTGAAAACACTGCCGCTGGTGGTGGACTTGTTTCTGAATGCTTCTGTTAGGGGAAGGAGCCACTGGGTGACCAAGTACCCTCTTTATACTGAACACACACAAACATTGTTCAGAGACTAGCATTGCAGCTGTTGTTCCTGGAGCCTGTCACCACTTGCCTGAGGGCATTGTTTAGACAGGACTGTGGTTACTGAAACGGTGCTTTATTGCATCTTGAAAGGCTTTTTATCTTTCCTTTTTGAAGTTATCTAATTTACTTGGCCCAGAGAGCGGGTGCTTGGACATTCCGTTTTTGTCCATTCCCTGCACATCTCCCAGGTAGCTTGGTGACATGGTAATGT